CCTCTGTGGTCTATTAACAAATAGCCAGATCATTCTTTTAAAATATGCACTGGGTCGTGTCACATCTCTGTCCCCATCTCGCTCAGCTGCCACTGAAAACCTTCCAGCAGCCACAAAGTCCTATGTACTTCATCTTATGACCCTTTTTCTGAGGTACCCAAGCACTGTCCGCCGCCTCCCCATCTCTTCTTCCAGGAATCCTTGAACACAATGTGTCCCAGGGTCTTTGCACCCATAGCGCCCTGTGCCTACAATGTCCTTTGAATGTGGTGGCGGTTCAAGCGAGGTACTCAACCCAGCAGCAGTTCCTGGGAATTTGTTTTCATTTCTAACAGTCAGGCTTGCTGGATGGGAAACCCTGGGGTGTGGCTGGGGTGGAGCTCCGCAGCAGAGTGCTTACCTAGCGTGCATGAGCTGAGTTTGATCCCCAGCACTGCAAAGAGAGAAGAAAGAAAGGAGCCCTGGGGGGATAGATGTGGCAGCCTGTGTTAACTAGCTCTCTAGGTAATTAGGGTACACACCAGAGGTGAAAAACCCTGCTCCATCCATGCAGTTCCCTTCCTTCAGTGCATGATTCAACACTCTCATAAAAAGAGAGTTTCCGGGGCTGGGGAGCTGGCTCTGTGGCTGAGGCGCCTGCTGGGCAAATGTGAGGACCTGAGTTCTAATCCCCAGACCTATGTAAAGCTGGATGAGACAGTGCACACTTGTAATCCCTGTGCTCCCATAGTGAGATGGGGAATGGAGGCAGGAGACTCATCAGAAGCTCACAAACCAGTTAGCCTGGCCATACAGTGGCAAACAAAAGACAAGCTGGATGGCAAAGACCAGCACTGGAGGATGCCCTCTGACCTGCGCCCATGCTCTCTGTCACACACAGAGCACACTCACACCCTCGAACATGCACACACGTACATAGACACCCCAGCATACATCTGAAAAGGAGAAGAATTTCTACCAAATTCTAGCCAGTCCTGTTCCCGTCACTCCCTTACCCACTGTGTGACCTTCTGGCGATCCTCAGTGCAAGACACAGTGCCTGGCATGTGCCTGTGGTGTGAAGGACCCCTGGCCCCAATGCTCAGCAGGTAACTCTGACCTCAGGAGGAGGACAGGGGCTTGCTCAAGGTCACGGGGTATCAGGCCTGCCAACTGCTGAGGACTTGCTTCGCGGCACTGGCCCCAGCGTGGGCTGGCATGCCCCTCCTCAGAAGCGTGGTTCACTGGCCCCCGGCGCACTTCCCTTCTCTTTTAAGCTCTGAGTGGTTTAATTTGCGAGCACAGCTGCCTTTCATGTCACAAGCTGCGTCCCTGCTCCCTCTGATCTCAGAAGCTGCCCGATCCACTGCTGCCACTTGTCGGCCCCGCCCTGCTCAGCCCGGATCAGGAGGCTCAGTTAATTGTGACTGATTTTCAAAGCCGCCTGGAGTCTCCGTGAGCACCCAGTGCCCAGATCCACTTCTTCAAAAAGTTACTCAAATAAATCAACTAATTTAATTTCTGTCTTTCCCCGCCCCCTCCTCGGTTCCCCAGCTTGTCCAGGGTGAGTCACCCTTTCTTCTGAGTGCTATGTGAGTTCAGGCTGGGACTCAGGCCAGTGCCTCCTACACTCTGTGGGACCTGAGATGCACTCTTGTCCTTTTCCCGAGTTCAGTCTCCCCGTCTGTGAAGCAAGACCCTCCCCTCTCCGACAGCTTGGAAGCCCAAGGCAGGGATCAGTTGCAGTACTCACTGGCTACAGAACCCAACGTACCTTCTCTTCCCTCTGGGTCCTGGGGCTCCCGTCTGTTCAGCGGGATGCTGACACAGACCTGGCATGCTAATTAGTCAGGTGAGAGTGAGGTGGGGACGACAGAGCCAGCGTGGCAAATGTGGCCTGCTTCTTCTGCCTGCCTCAGGCCCAGACCTTCTCTGCAGTACGGCAGACAGGACTCTCCTAAGGCTCCCCTGAAAGTCACTTAGCTGTATAGCATCAGCTCTCTCCAGCTTTCTGGTCTTTTCTGTGCCTGAGCGTGCAAGTCAGAGAGATGGCTGAGCAGGTGTAAGTACAGGGCAGGCAAGCCTGGTGACCTGAATTTAAGTCCTGGACCAACATAAAAGCAGGATGTGATAGCAGACAGCTGGAACCCAAGCACTTCTACAGCAAGATGGGAGACGAGGACAGGAGAGCCGGCCGGCATCTCAGGGCCAGCTAGCCGGGAGTACACAGCACAGCAGTAGAAACAGGAGACGGCCTGCCTCAAGGCAAGGGGGAAGGCTGAGCCAGTAAAGGTGCGGTAGATGATAAAGATGCTTGTCATCGGGTCTGCCCACCTGAGCTCAATCCTTAGAACCACAGTGAAAGGAAAGAACAAACTCCCCAAATGATGACCTCCACACATACCCATGGCTTACATGCACCTGCACATGATATATATATATATATATATATATATATAGATAGATAGATAGATAGATAGATAGATAGATAGATAGATAGATAGATATACATAGATATATATAAAAGTTTTTAACAAAAAAACAAACCACAAGTCAGTTTTGGGAAAAGGTAGACAAGACCATGTCCTCTTGGGGCCTACAATTTAACAGGGAGGGCTGCTGGGCCTGGGGAGTCAGGGATTTGAGCTGCTGCCTCTGGCTTGCTGGTGACCTTGGACATGCCACCGCTCCCTGAGCCCCAGTTTCTCCATTTCCACAGTTCATGTCCAAGCTCTTGGCAACTCTGGAAGGTCCTGGATCTTTGCCACTGCCAGCCTCCTGGGTATTTTCCCAGCCCAGAGCTCCCCGGTGAATCGGTTTATTCGACTGGCAGTTTAAGCGTCTTTGCTGTGCTTCTGGACGAGTCCTTCCATCCGAGCACACCAGAAACCAAACTCCCACTTTCCTTTCATCTCCCAGAGCTGTTCTTCCAGCTCAGGAAATGGAAATTCCATCAAGTTCACCAGTCAGGTCAAAATCCCAAATGTAAGCCTCGAGTTCTCCCTCTTACATCCAATCCATTAGCAAACGCCTTCAGCCTAGCTTTCAAAACACATCCACCAGCGACCTCATTTCATCTCTTCTAATGCCACCTTGAGTGGAGCCACCGCCAGGCCTCATCTTGATAACTGCAGCATCCCCATTTAGAGCAACCGGCTCCTGGCTTTGCCCTCCCCACGCCTGTCACTTCTCCCTGGGACAGTCACGAGATCATGTTAAAAGTAAGCCAGACTCTGTCGTTCTTCAGAAGGGGACCCATCATGGCCTGCCTAGCATGTGCAGAATCAAAGGTCCAGCCGTAACTATTATGTAGATGGCTGCGTGATACTCAGGGAACATGACCCCAGGGCCTTTGCACATTCTGCTCTCTGTGCTCATCTCTCACAATGCCCATCTTCTCACTTCACTGCTTCAGCATCACCTCTGGGAGGCTTCACTGTACCAGTCATTCTTCTGCTTATTAGTGTCTGTCATCTCTAGCCAGAACATGCTATTTGTGAATATATGGACTCTTGTCTGTCTATACATAGCTATGTCTCCCATGCCATGGCAAGCACATAGTAGGTACTCAACAAATTTCTTTTAAATGAATACTATATGTCAACAAATACATGGACGGTCATAGGAATGCACGGGTTTTGATACGTCACTCAGTTAGCAAGCATGTACACATCACACACACACACACGTACCTGTGTATATACAGAGCTCACTCCTCTTCTGCTCTATTTTCCCACTATTTCTTGGTGCCCCCCCCCTCACATTTTCTCTGGTCCACATTCTCCTTTGAATACCAGTGATCTGCTTATTGAGCCAAATTTGGCCCAACCTGGATACACTGGGCTGATAAGGCCCTCCCGCAAATACCTAAGTGTTTCAGCTTCTGATGTGCAGCCAAAGGGTAGGAGAGCCAGAGAAAGGTCAAGCTAGCTTGCATCTCCAGGAGACGATAGCCTAGGACCTAGGATGCTGCTCTCTGCCTGCCTGCCTTGCAGACCTCTTTGGCTAATATGCTGAGGAAGGGGTGGCAGCTTGGGACCCACAACCCCTGACTCAGTCAGTGTCCACTAGAGACTTAGGAGCCTGGGCTAAGTGGAACCTTGGTGTTCAGAGGGCTGTCTGAGACCCCACCCATGAGCGGGTGGGGCAGAGGCATGCTGTGTTTAGTCTGGGCACACTGCTCCATTCAGATGTGTTCTGAACAGGGTTGTCTCACATCTACAGGCAGTAGTGTGTCTTCTTTTGTTATCCACACAGGTTGGGTGTGTGTAGTGCCCCTGGGTATTCGCAGCCACACTCAGCAAAGAATAATTGATTCTCTCGGTGCCTCATGTGGGCTTGAGTACCCAGGCAGCAGGGCCTCTAAGCTGGGGCATCCCAGTCAAATGAATGAAGCTGTCCCAAACTACACCCAGATGTGTCCCTAGCTACACCTAGATGATGCCCTAGCAAGGTGACACCTGCGGAGGTTACCCCTGTGTTCATGGTGGTGGCTGAGCTTGTCCAGTAGCTTGCTTTGCTTGAGGGCTGTTTCCTGTGCCTGTGTTGGGTGGCTATGTGCAGGTGTGAGACTGTGTTGAGATCTGTGCTGGCCTGGCTGTTGCCATTTTAGGCTGGAGAAAATGCAGCAGTTGTGCAGGGGCTGCGTCTGTGTGCAGCTGAACTCTGAGGGAGAGCTGCGACCATGTCAAACACGGCTGGCACATGGGGTTGTGTCTCTGAGCATACAGTGTGCACGTGCCTAGCTGAGCTTGCATGCACAACTGGGTTTGGGTGTGCAGCTGTATCTGAGCATTCAGCTGTCACTGAGTCCACAGACAGGCCGTGTCCACATGGGGGCCTGGGTGTACGGGTGCAGCTGAGGTCAAGTGTTGGCTTTTCCAGCTATGTCACTGGGAATGTGCCCTGCTCCTGTCTGTCCTCTGTGCCCTGGGGACAGCCACTCTGTCTCCCCTGTCCCTCCCAATCAGCTCATGCTTGGAGCATCCCCGCCCCAGGCCTCACCCATCCCCCCAGCCCACCTGTAGGGGACAGCTCAGCCACACTGCCAATGTAGGGGCCGTGTAGGAAGCGTGGCTCACTGTCGTTGATGTCCTGCACTTTGATGATGAACTCCGATTCGGGCTCCAGCAGGCGGTTGGTGGCGCGATCCCTGGCTTGAGCCCGGAGTGTGTAGAAGGTTTTCTGCTCCCGGTCCAGGCGCTCGGTGGCATGGATGTCACCTGTCAGCTCATCAATCAGGAAGATGGTCCCCGCACCCTCGCCAGAGATGGTGTACTTGATGGTGCCATCACCTTCATCAGAATCAGAGTGGATCTGAGGAGGTAGGAGGAAGGCAGGGTGGGTACTGGGGAAGGTGGAGGCTCTTCTCTGACACTGGCCCCCCCAGAGTCCCATGGGGGCCTGTTCCTAAGCACATCTCTCCTTCAACTGAACACAGAGGGGCACAGGCACAGCTTTACATCCTCCATGAACTCTTCACCTGGGATTCACCCTACCCTGACTGCACCCCACAATCTACCTTCCCTAGGCCCCCAAAACCATCAGCTTTAGATGATAACCACTACCCCACCCTACCCCTGCTCAAAACACTCCCATAGTTCCTGTTGCCTTTAAAATGAAGTCTGGGACAGCAGCTTGCTTAGCCCTGCAGCTCTAACTGTGTGCTCATGTATATGCCCGTGTGTGTGTGTGTGTGTGTGTGTGTGTGTGTGTGTGTGTGTGTGTGTGTGTGCGTGTGCATGTGCACATGTCAAGGCTTGTGGAAGAAGATGTCAGAAGACATCCTTAGGTGTCATCCACGGTGGTTTTACTTTATTTTTGAGACCATGGCTGACCAGCAAGCCCCAGGGATCTCTTTGTTCTAGCCCCCCAACTCTGGGATTACAAGCACAGGCCACCTTCATTGGCTCTTTTCTTTTTTTTTTGGTTTTTCGAGACAGGGTTTCTCTGTGTAGCTTTGCGCCTTTCCTGGAACTCACTTGGTAGCCCAGGCTGGCCTCGAGCTCACAGAGATCCGCCTGGCTCTGCCTCCCGAGTGCTGGGATTAAAGGCGTGCGCCACCACCGCCCGGCTATTGGCTCTTTTCAAATGTGGGTTCCGAGGAATCACATTCATGTCCTCATGCTTGCTCGCAAGACAAGCACTTTACCCTCTGAGCCACGCTCTAGTCCCGGAGCTCATGTCTTGAACACTCGTCCTTGCTTTTCTGCCTAGTGAAAATCCATCGGCCGGGCAAGGCTCTGCTCACTTGCCACCTGGCCTGGGAAGCTTTGCTGGGTCCCCCTCCAGGGTCTCTGAGTGCATCAAGCCATCATCATCATCATCATCATCATCATCATCATCATCATCACCATCATCGTCATCGCGTTCAGCCTTGCAGGATCACTGTTCGTGCGCTCTTCAGACCTCCAGGTGCACGTAAATGACACAGGCAGCTTTTACAGTGTGGCCCTGGCTCACCCGTTCTGGGGTGGGGCTTCCCAGTTCACAAACCCTGAGCTGCTCAGTGACCCACTTTGCACATTAGTCTCCCCTGGCTTCATTACGGGTCTCTGGAAATGGAAGGTGGGCCCGTGACTTGTCATTTTGTGGGGACCGGGAGTGGGAGCGGGGGGATGAGATTGCAGAGACACCTGTGCCCATCAGGCATTGTGCAGGGTAAGGAGCACATTTATCTAGATTAGAACCCTAGATAAGAACAAAAAAAAGATGAGAACAAACCCCATTCCAGCAAGTTTTGCTTTTCCCCCCCGTTTTCCTAGGGAGACCAGACCACTGGGAAGCCACCTGGCTTCCTGCGCTGTGCTCCCTGCGCTGTGCTCCCTCCCTGTGCTTCCCCACTCCATTCTAAAGCCTCTCAGAGGTCTCCAGAGGAAGGCAGAGACCGGCCTTGACTCCAGCATTATCTCCTGTGTGTCTTACATAAATCACTGTGCCTCTCTGAGCCTGCCACTGCATCTGTAGCATGGCTTGTCCTCCCAAAGGAGCTGGGTGGACAGTGCCCTAAGGCCCTCGCCAGCTGCCCAGCACCAGCAGCACAGGAGGCAGGATGCTGCCCGAGGACCAGGGCTGGAACCAGGTCCCACTGAGCGATGCATGTCCCCCATGACTACTGCGTCACCAAAAGGTCCAAAAGGCTGGGAGATGGGAGCAGAGAGGGACTATTTAGGGAAGGTATGGAGGCTTTTTGCTTTTTTAGCAACCACTGCAAATATACCTGTTGGTACTAGCTAAAACTTAGCCCTGCCTGAGACACATTAAGTATCTGACACACAGAAGCCATGATTACATTACACTAAGCATTCACTATTTATAACCGGGATTTTCCTCTGGTACTGCGAGGCACCAGACCCTGGGCTGTTTCCACTGCACTGGCATCTCTTGGGGTAGGAACCAGCAAGAGCCTGTTCTCTTGCAAACAGAAACACCTAAGGCTTCATCCTCCAATGCACAAATCTCCAAGCAGCCCTGAGCAGAAGAAAACCCATCTGGATTTTAGCTGCTGCTCCTCTCCAAGCCTCCGTGGAGATGGAGCATAAAGGAGACAGTCCCTACAGCACTTTTGAGGCCCAGCTGTGGCAGACTTCAGCCCCCTCATCCTCAGAACAGGTGCCAGAAAACTCATCAAGAGGAGGGCCCACCCAGCCACGCAGGAGGAGCCGGGGTGTAAATTCTGTGGTAGAACTTCGTGTCTGAAAGGTGGATCATAGAAGTGCCATTTGGAAGATTGAATGGCCCATAAACATTTTCATATTTCATTAGCCGATTAATGGGCATCTCTCTCTTTTTGGCGACTCTGCTGATTCTCAGCAGAAATTGTCGGGAGTAAATGGAGGCGTCTGGTGGAACCTTTCCGGGTCCCCGTCCTGTTATAGATTGCCCCAATTAATGCCCGTCCTGGGCTCCTTCTTCCTGTCCAGTTACTGTTAATAGATTTCTCATAAGTGGCTGGATTGTAAAAACCTCATAACTCAGTTTAATGCCCCCAATAAAATTATCTCAGATGTCGGCCCTGAATCATTGGCAGCTCCTGGGATGAGGGGGATCTGTTTCTGTTTGTATGTACTCTTTTATGACCTTTCCTTGGGGAGATACAGTGGGAAAAAGGGGGTATGACCTCTCTTAGGGTGCCTCTGTCCACTTCCCTTTTGACTCGGCATCTGCTTATTTGACCAGCAAACACTTGAGAGCAGCGTGATAGAAGAGATGAGACTGTGGGAGAATCATCTTCAATGGTGTCTGTCAGAGCCCCGTAAAAACGGCTATTGCATGTCTCGGATGAGGAGACAGTGCACACAGACAGATGTGATCTCGGTCACGTGGCCCAATGTGGAAGCTAAGCTTGGTGTTGGAGCTATGGTGGGTTCATTTTGCCCTTCTGAGTCCTGATTCCCCATCTGAGGCATTCAAGCCTCTTTACTTGGCACAGTAAAGATTACACAAACACTCGGGTCTGGAGAGATGGCTCAGTGGTTAAGAGTATTGGCTGCTCCTCCCAAGGACCGAGGCTCAATTCCCAGTAACCACATGGCAGCCCACAACTGTAACTCTAGTTCCAATGGCTCCAACTCCCTCACACAGACATACATTTGGGCCAAATACCAATACACACAAAAATTAAGTGAATAAAGGAAAAAAGATTCAATGAACACATGTTGGCAATGACCCAAGCCCCTGGCCATGGTGGCCTCCTTCCCTCTCTGTATCCTGGAGCTCTGTGATGTACAAGGTCTCAGATCCCTTGACGTTTTACTTTTCTTCTTTCTTTCTTTTTTTATTTTTTATTTTGAGATATGGTCTCAGGTAGCCCAGGTTAGCCTCAAACTCACTAAGTACCTGAGGATGACCTTGAACTCACGATCTTCCTGTTTCTCCCACTCCCCAAACCCAGTGTTGGTATAATAGCCCAGCATCCTGGTATTTTCCCTTGGACCTCCTCCCCACTCCCAATGAGGAGTGGGGAGGAGCGAGTGGAGCCCAGCATTGATGTCATCAATGTTCTGTGAAGTGTGACCTAGCCCTCACATTGGGGACCAGTAGCTGTTCCCCGGGGACTACAGGGTCAGACTGCCAATCAGCCCAGAGGGGGAGGAGCTAAGAGCTCAGAGCTGTGGAGCTGGGCAGGGCTACATCCTGGCTCAGCCCTAGAAGACACTTCAATCCCCAAGATTCAAGATCCATTGCAGCTGGGGGTGGAGGTATGCCGCTCTCATTTATAGAGCGCCTACTGTACTGCTCCTGCTGCAGGCTCTCAGCACACAGCATGCAGATGTCTTTGCATGCTCCAAGTGAAGACACCAAGGTGGGCCCGGGTCCACTGAACTCATGAGTGCTGATCTGTCTTCCAGCAGCCTCAGGAAGGTCAATCAGTCAGCTCACAATGTCCCCGGTAGAGGATGGGGGGCAAGGGGAGGAGCCACTGGCTGGGTCTCCGACGCCGGTCTTTGCCCTGCAGTTCTCCCTGAGTCTCAGTTCTACCATTTGGAAAAAGACCTAAAATCACACATCGGAAAGGATGATGGGTGTGAAGTCAGGAGCAGCGCACACCAACTCCAGCTTTGCCTCCAGCCTGCTACTGACTGGCCCGGTGAGTGGCGGCCCTTTTCAGAGCCTCAGCTTTCTCATCTGCAGCCACATGGGACTGCCATTGCTATCAACAGGTCCTGCAGATTCATAAGATAACATAAGCAAGCTCACAGCACACAATAGGTTCTTTTTTTTTTTTCCTTTTTGGTTTTTGAAGACAGGGTTTCTCTGTGTAGTTTTGGTGCCTGTCCTGGATCTCGCTCTGTAGACCAGGCTGGCCTCGAACTCACAGAGATCCGCCTGGCTCTGCCTCATGAGTACTGGGATTAAAGGCATGCGCCACCAGCCGCCCGGCCACAATAGGTTCTTACTGTGGATCAACATCCCTTTCCTGTCTCTGAACTCAGGAAGGACTGGGGGAGGGTTGTCTAACTCACCCTCCCCACCTTCCTACACAGGGATCAACCACAGATATCGCTACTCATTGGAGGCCTAGAGGCCATCATCTTCCAGTGCCTTTTCAGTCCAAAGCACCTCCAGGAAGCCCTATCAGACATGGCCCACGTGGTGGAAGAGCCCAGGCCCTCCTCCATGCACAGACTTCTCCCTGCCACACTCCCCCCCGCAGCTCTTCAGTGTTGTGCTTGGGTGTCCCAGGCACTGTGGCCTGGGGCACTGGAGAGGTTGATTTGCTGGGCCTGAGCTCCTCAGGCTGGCTGTGCGCTAAGACACTAATGGTGCCTGCGGAGAAAATGTGGGAGCTGAGTGTGCACGCTTGTGAGTGAGTGTGTATGCTTCAGTGCACACTCAGTGTGAGATCAAAATTTCCTGGAGGGCACAGCGGAGAGTTCATTCTCTTTTTCACAGTGGTGCCCAACACAGGGCTTGATAGGAAACACATTGAACATGTGACTAAGGACATTCACTGTCTCTAGAATTTCCTACCTGCCCGGGATTTCTGGATCCGTCTGCCTTCTCTTCCATATTCCTATCAAGGTGCCACATTCGAGCCTGAAGTTCAAGAGTCACCCACTTCCAAGGGGAAGAAGAGAGTTTTCTCACCTCTCAGTCTCAGGTGGAGGATAGTTACAGGCCTCTTAGGGTGCTCTAAGCACACAATACCAAAGACTTCAGCATGACCTCTGCCTGCTACATCCTCCTCCCACAAACTCCCCAGTACATTCTATTCTCTCCTATTATACAGACAGGCAAACTGAGGCCCAGAGAAGGTGTGCATCCTACCTGAAGCTACACAGCTCACAGCGGGCAGTTACAAAGCCAGTGTGACACGATGTCCCTGTTCTTACTACCACACCCAGAGTGGCCTGTTTCTGAGGAGGAACCCCCACGCCACCTCATCCCCAACCCCTAGCCCTCTATCATAAACAACAAAAACATGAGCACGATGGTGCCTCGTCCCAGGGGGCTGCAAATGGGATTTACGGGGCCATTAATTACTTCCTCCTAATTAATTCAAAATTAAATGCGAGCAGAGGTAGGGTTTCCTTATTAAAGACAATTAAACGGACAGCGAGGCTATGCAAACAGAACGAGTCTAGGATTTAAACAGAAAGCAAATCAAATAAAGAGCCTCCCGCTCGCCCCCCCCCCACGAATGCAAGGGGTCTGCTCACGCAGGCACAACTCGTAAACCAAGAGTTCATCAATTTTCTTTAAATATTAGCAACTTAATTAAATCCACTCTCCTCCCTACTCTAATCCTGCCGTATATCTAAAATAGATCTCACCGCCCACAGGAGTTGGTCATAAGTGCTGACCCCATAATTCTGTCTTTTTTTTTTTTAAATGTAAAATCCTACAAAATCCACATTCGACTGACAGGAGCCTCGGGGGAAATTACAGTTCAGAAAGGGGATTAGTCAAAGTACCCAGATTTTATGGAAATGCTGGGAGGTTGCTTTGGGGGGGCGTGTTTGAGAAGGTGAGAGGAGGTGGCTGGGATGCCCACCGGGCAGGGCTGTGCAGGGAGCTGTTGGGGGGGCCTCAGAGACAAGCTAATGACTGCAGGGCCTGGTGGTTCCTGTGGGTGCTGACAGGAGCCTGGCGGTGAGTGATGGAGAAGGCGGTTGTGAAATCGGCTACCGTTGGGCACACGGGGTTCACTGCCTGCCTCTGTTGCTAAGCTACCTTTAGAATTCGACAAGGACTGATGCTCAGAGTGACTCCCTGGGGTGGGGGACCAGAAAGCAGCGATTTCACTGGAACCATGGAGAAGTCCTTTCTCCTGGCAGATCGAGGGGTGTGGCATGACGGGAACGCACACACACGTGTGTGCACACACTCGGGTACTGTATGCGTGGGTTTGGCTGGCTAGGGACAGGTGGCTCAAAAAAAAAAAAAAAAAAAAAAACCACCCAAAAAAACCCAAGCTCACATTCTCAGGATTGACAGCTTCCCTCCAATGAGTGATGGGAAGCTAAGATGTGCTTGGGACCGAACGCAGGGGTTACTAGAACTTGGGTATTTGAATCTGGTTCCAGTCCGCTCACTGGTCACTCACTGGTCTCTCCTTGTTCCCCGCACAGCACCTTCGGGAGGTGGCCTTGGCAGCAATGGGGCTGAGCTCTATGCAAAGGGCATGGAGGAGACTGGCAACCCACAGCGGTGATGGAGACCTGTCCAGTGGATGGGCCAGCACAGTGCTGTATCACAGCAGATGCTTAACATGAATTCTAGACTTGAAGTGGTGTCTGGATACCTGTGGCTTGCCTGATCCTATATCTGTGTTGTCATTTGGTCTTGGTACAAATTTCTCCATCCCCAGGCCTCAGTTTCCCCCTTTTTACAATGAAAGGATTTATTAGGGACCCCTTTTGACAACAAATTGTGGTTCAAGGTGACGGCATGAGGTTTACTCATGCTGTTGAGACCCCAAAAAAAACTGGCCACGCAAAGACGCAAACAGCCAGTTAGTGGCTCCACTTCCTATTTAACTGGCTCCATTTCCTGGTTTTAGAGTCTGAGTGGCTGGCTGGGTGCCCCTTGCAGAGAATCCAGCTCTTGGGCCATTGACTACCTGGGCCAGTCACCCTATCTGGCTTTAAGCTGACATTTGAGTCCTCTGGGGCCTCTTTGAGGACCTCAGGCATGTCCAAGTTTTTGTCTAAGCCTTCCAGGTCTGGACCCTCAGCCTCGGGCTAGCTTTGTCTCCCTGGGGCATTAGAAACTACAACAACAGCTTGGTGAGGTGTTTGCCACGCAGCATAAGGTTCTGAGCTTGATCCCAGAATTCGAATAAAAAGCCAGGCATGGTACTATGCTCTTGTAATCCCAGCTCAGGGGAAGCAGAGACAGGCGCATCTCCAGGGCTCACTAATCAGCCAGCCCAGGCTCCTTCATAAGTTCCAGACCAGTGAAAGACCCTGTAACAAAGGAGGCAGACAGTTTCAAAGTGTGACAGCCAAAGTTGTCCTCTGGCCTTCCAACACTCAAGAAGCTGCAGGGGCAGGCCCTAGCAGATGCCCCTGTCCACTCCAGGTCTCTTGCCCTCTCTGCCCTTCGTTTCTCTATCTACAAAAAGAGAAACGCTTTTTACCTTACACGTGGGCGATTAAATACTTTATATGAGGGTAATAAAGAGGAACCAAGACAAACAAGCCCTGGGCTAAGTGCTTTGTGGGTTCCGTTTTCTTTCTTAATCAAGAACCTGGGCACAGGGGCTCTAAGATCTTGTGTACAGATGAAGAGAGAGGTCTGGGTGTGTGTAAAGATTGGGGTTCAAGGCTATGTGGGGAGCAGGTTAGCCAGAATAAGCTTCCAGAGCTTGCATTCTTAGCTACCAGACCCCCAAGTACTTGCTCCTCCTCTGCTGGCCTGACAAGGAGTTGGCAGTCTCTGCTCTGCCACTAAGCTGCTGGGCCATCCTAAGCAAGGCCTGCGTCTGCCTAAGTGCTGTCTGTCGGATCCAGGCTTTGCTCAACCGTGGGGACCTCCTTCAGCCCATGCATGGAGGGTGGCGGTTGAGCGGAACTCCTGTGTCAGGATCCAGCGTTTCCTACACACAAACCCACAGGTTTACACGCATTTTTCCTGCCACTGTTGGGGCTAGTCTCCGAGCCTCAGATCTGCGCCGGCCAGATCTCAGGTTCAGGTAGCACACATGTGCTCTTGAGGTGGAGTCCCACTGCCAACCAAAATGTGCTGGCAAGCTGATGGCCTGAACAAAACCCAGAGAACCAGTCCCAGGTACCACCTTCATCCGATGCTTTGTCCATGACCATCTCTGCTTCACCGGCTCCACTTTTGGCAAATCTCCAAACAAACCATGATCTCCAGGCTTCTGAGTCTACACAGGTTGCAGCCTCCTTTCATCAGCTTGGTGAGCTCCTACTCCTACGCTAAAACCCAGCTCAGGTTTTTTTTTTTTTTTTTTTCCACCATGAAGCCAGCCAACAATCCCATTTAATCGGTGCCTACTGGCTTCCAGGGCTGGTTTGTGAAGATTTTTACACCTCAGGGTGTGTGTGATGTGTAAAATCTTAGAGAGCCGTAGATAGCAGGAGTTGGATCATGCTACTATGTCCCCAGTGGCACACCCAGGCCTCATGAGGAGCAGGCATGGAAAGGATGGACACCAGTCCTCACTTCCTTACAGCCCCAGAGCCCCAGTCTTCAGCCAGGTTGACCAGCATTTGCTCAGAGTTTGAGAAGGCAGCTTTCATTCATTCTTTTTCTTTCACTCACTTATTCACAGAACGGTGTGTGACCATCATTGGTACCAGACACTGGGGACTTCATGGTGAGCAAACTGCTTTGTTGAGAGGCATGCGTCAGTTGTACAAGCAAGCCAACACATGTAGAAGGAGAGATAAAGGGACCTTAGGGGTGAGTGCACAGGTGTGTGTGTGTGTGTGTGTGTGTGTGTGTGTGTGTGTGTTTGTGTGTGTGCCCGTGTCCTAGCCTGGTGTAGTCAGGGAGGGCTTCTCTGAGAAAGCAGCATTTGAATTGAGATGTGTAGTGAGTGTCAGGTACCTGGTAGGAGGAGGAAGGAGCAGGGAGGAGAGGAGACAGCTTGTGTAGAGGGGCAAGGGACACCAGGAGAGTGACAGTGTGATGGAGGCACAGCCACACAGGACTCCAGCTCTGCAGAGAGCAGGTTCAAATTCAGGTGTGACCCCAGGTAAGTTACTGAGGTCCAGGAAAGTGGTACGGTACACCTGGACATGATCAGATCTGTGAACTAACTGGATGCCCCACAGTACCAGGGCATGAGCTGGGCTCCCCTCACTGTATCTAAAGTGGAAAGGTAGGGGGCTGTGGAGGGAGCATGGGGCAGGAGATAGCTGGAAGCGAGAGGGGACAGGGACTACCAATGGGTGTCCCCAGAGTTGGGGCTGGACAGTGGGCCCCACTTTACCTTGCCCACGTACAGGGGTTCTGTCCCTGTGTACTCCTCGACCACGAAGAATTGGTTCCACACCCAGCCACGCTTCACTCGGCCTGCGCCCAGCTGGTTGTCCTGCTGAGTCCCCGGTGACGAGGAGGATGGGCCAGGGGTGCTTGCGGCCCACAGGTGCCCCAGGAGCGGCAGCAGCAGCAGCAGCAGCAGCACAGGAGATAGCGCAGCCCCTGCCCGGAGCACCCCGTCGGGCTGTGGCCTCATTCTTGGCAGCGCGGGCCAGGCCCCGGAGCATGGATGGGAGGCACCGCAGCGCTGCTGCGTCACATGGTGACCTGAGCCGCGGGGATGCTGGGCTGGACTGGGAGGGGGCGCGGCCGCACCGGGGCATGGACACCTGGTCCTGGCCCGCGCCCCCCTCACTGAGGCCCTTGGCCCAGTCAACAGGCAGCACAGGTGCTGCTCCCGAGTAGGGCTTGTGCCATGGTCTCTGTGTCCAGACGATGTGGTCAGTGGGGGCCAAAGGACCTTGAAGTTCTTCTGGGACTAGGCATCATCCAGATCCATTGGGAACCTGTGGGATAAGAGAGGAAACATGGGATAGGGTTCTGTCTGAGGGCAGGCTGCAACCGTCTTCACTGGTCTTGCTGTAACTAACTAAACACCTGGGTGTCTAGCCCTTGTAAGAACACACGTGATAGGGACATTGATGGCCCACCAGGTAGTAGGCCAGCTGGCCCCCAAGCCCTAACCTTTTCCTAAGACCCCTGCTCCCCATCCCTCAACTCCTCCAGCTGCTGCTCCAGCCCTCAGGCCCCCAAGCAGACTCAGTGGTGGCCTGCCTCGTTCTGCTGCTGAGTTCTCTAGCACAGTGGGATCCTCTGGAGTCCCCACAGAGGCAGCTTCTAGAAGGGCTCCCAGAGCTGGAAGCTCCAGGCCTCCAGAGTGCGGCCTGGGGCTGTTCCTTAGTTCTCCCCAGCAGCAGGAGACCCAGGGGAAGCCTGTCGGCAGCTGCCACCTCCATAGCCCTTGTGGGAAGGGATTCCTAGAGTCCTAGAGGGTCTTGCTTGGAGCACCCCAAGTGACTCTGGGTAGACACATCCCCTGAGCTGGTGTCTCCACTCCCCCCCCGCTCAGCCTTCCCGTCTCCTTCCCACCCTACCCCCCAGCACAGGCTGGCTGTAGATCCATCATCTAGTCTTCCCTCTGATTCTGCTCTCAGCAAGGGAGGATCTGAGACACTCACGCCTACTGGAGCCATAATGAGGAATAATGGCCTAATGTGGGCGTTTGTGGGACGGCCAGGCTTCTACCAGGAATTTCAGGTACAGAGAAGAATTTCAGGTACAGTTCAGCTCTGTTCAAGAACTTCCTTCTACTGGCCTCAGCTCTGAGCCAGGCTGAGTCTAGCTGCTAGGAACCAAGGTAGATAAGCCCATAGTCCAGTGTGGGCAGGAGAAAAGAGTATCCCACAACACGTGGGGCATGTGGCCAGTGTTGGGAGAAGACAGACAGAAGACTGAGGGGTGTGAATGTTTGGAAGGGAGAGCAATCAGGGCAACTTCATGGAGGAAGAGGCCCCTGAGCAGCTGGGAAGGAAGGGGTGGTGTTTTGAGTGCAAGCTAGTTTACAAGGGGTACAGTAACAGTGCGGAGGGCGTGGCTGGGCAGCGGGCAGGGGTGGGGCCATCTGGAGGATGAGGAAGCACTCTAATGGTTGGGATGGGAAATGTGAACCACCTCCTTTGAACAATGGAGAGTCTCGTGCTATCATGTGACATGAATTGCAGCCCTGGGAGCTGGGGTGACAGATGTGACTCCCCAAGTTCTCAGCGCTGGGGTCTCCAGGGTGAGTTGAAGGGTTGCAGATGATAGCCCTAGGTGAACAGCCACAGTGCACAGGAACACAGGGAACATGCTGTCCCCTCTGCCCCTCTAGGCCCTTCCCAGATCCAACCCAGATCTAGGCCCTGTGGCTCCTCTGCAAGCAACTCCCTCCATAGACCCTGCCCACCCATTCTGTGCCCTGTGTATGACTTTCACCACCCAGGTGTCCCCGCTGTCTCTGCTACGCTATTGCCTTGGGGAACCTGGCTCCGATTCCTCCTCAATGATGGCCTGGCTGGTCGTAATGAGGCTGGAGTTATGGGTGAGGAGGGGGTGCCCTCCGAAGATTTCATTTCCTGGAGCTTATGAGTTCCCTGCATGTGCCTGCCTGGGGAACTGTTCCCCTGGCTCCAACGGGCAGTTGCAGGGCTGCATGGTGCTGCAGCAATGTGTGTGGGGGGGAGGGGGCAGGGATGTGTGGTGCTGCAGCAATGTGTGTGGGGGGGAGGGGGCAGGGGTGTGTGGAGTTGGGGACTGGAGATTACAGGGAGGCTGGGGCCACTTGGTGGGTGTGGGCCGGGGGAAGCTCTCCCAGCGCTTGCAGGCACTGGGCTGCCCCTGGCTCTCTCTCCTCCTTCTTTCATTTCTTTGTTTATAACACCTCCCGTAATGGGGAGCAGCACCCTGGGAGTCAATCACTCGTTCATTGATCAAGTAGTACTGTCGAACACAATCTAGGAGACAGAAAAGAATCTCATTCATTCATTCTCTCACTCATTCAGTACACTTTTAACATCTGTGTGAGGCAGCAGGATGGAACCAGTTACTAGGAGAGAGGAACACGGCTTCTGGTTGTTCCTTTACTCTCTCCATAAATATTTACCAGCACTTCCCTGATACCAGCTCCCTCGTGGGGCGCTGGGGACACAGCGATAAACAGAGACCAGGCCTTCAGGGAACTGACCGTCGGGTATGTGGGGAGGGGAGCAGAGCATAAAGGACTCAATCCACAGCCTCATTTCGAGTATTAAGAGTAGGGATGGAAAGAAGGTAAAACATGGCGGAAAGGCTGGAAGGAGTGGAGAATTATGGGTAGGGGTGGGGGTGGGGTCTCAGAGGAGGGATTGAGAATGGCTGAGACTAGAAGGGTGAGGGGAAGCCAGACACAGAGCAGCGATATGTGCCAAGGTCCTGAGGCTGGAGTGGGCAGAGGTTCACCTGAAGCCCAGTCGCTAGGGGGTTTTGTGTATGTGGAACTGGGCACGAGGTGGGGGTGTGCACTTGGCGGGACCCTGCTGAAGCCTGCACTCAGACTCCTACTTCAGAGTTGAGTTCTGAAGTGCTACCCGAAGGTTGCACGAGACTACCCAGGCCAGAGCAAACCTTGAACCCGGGACTTGGACTCTCCTTGGTACAAAGGGAGTGGGAAAGGGCACCCCTTCAGCGGGATGACACCCCCACCGGGTGCACATGGTAGGAGGAAGCTGACCCTTTGTGCACACTCACCCCAGGACCCTGCCTTCCATCCTCCCTTCCTCTGACCTGGCCCTTTGTACCTCAGCCTCCAGGCCCTCCCTCCAGCAACTGGCCAGCTTCCCTGGCTGCCTGCCAGCTCCTTGCACTCAGCACAGTCTGCCAGGGCCGCAGCAGCCAGACCTCCTCCCTCCTGCCCTGTTTCAGCTTTGCCCGAGGGCCCCGACAGGACCCTGCCCTGGCATTCTGTCTGACCAGGAGGACAGCAGTGGAGGCTCCATCCCACTCTCCTTGGACTCTGTGTGAGCCTCTGGCCACGTCGGTGGCCTTCCCCTGGCCATGGAGCTCAACTTCCTGCACGAAGCTGTTTAACCCCAAGGGAGATTAAGAAACTGAGTCCTGGCCCAGGCTCCGTGGATGCTGGCCTTGCCTTACCTGCTCTTCAGCCTGGCCTGTGCAGTGCATCCGTCCATTCAGGGTGCATGCGCATACACACCGGTTTCACACCGGGCACCCTCATATGTCACAAAGGTCATGAGACTCTGCTAGTCACTGATCTGGGCTCAGCAGAAATAAACAGACACCTTGCTTTGTGAAGAGGAAAGACAGGCGTGAGCAGTGGACATGTCTGACATGTTTGGTTTTGTTTTTGAGGGCCGCTGTGGGGGTTGGGGACTTAAAGGAGGGCTCCGGTCATTGTGAAGAATTAAAACAGAGACTGGGATCAGTTCCTTAGGAGACAGTGTAAGTGAGCGACCCCAAAATCCTTGTTTCTGGCTTGCCCTTCACCCTTCACGGCACCTTCATCACATCCTTGGACTTCCCAACCTCTAGGACCATGGACGGAAACATACTGTTGTAAGGTTTTTGTTTGTTTGTTTTGAGACATGTCTCACCCTGTAGCTCTGGCTAGCCAGGAACTCACTATGTAGACCAGGCTGGCCTCAAACTAACAGATCTACCAGTCTCTGCCTCCTGAGTGCTGGGATCAAAGTCCTGTGTCACTGCGCCTGGCTACCTCTTTTATTTATAACCTATTCAGTCTCCAATATTCTGTTATAATAACAGAAAACTGTATTAGATGATGGTCAAGTGTTACAGAGAAAACAAGGCAGGGTAACAGGGCTGGGGAAGTATTTATGCATTCTGTGTCATCTATCCATCTATTTATCTGTCATCTATCAACTTATCAATCATTTTGAATGATAATTTGTACAGAGTGCGCTGGGGAAGGCCTTGCCATTTGGATGCTACTTGAAAAGAGGTCTGTTCAGGCAGAGAGGGGATGCCATAAAACTACTGTGAGTATGCTGGCCCGAGGTAGAGAGGCAAGAGCACAGGCCCTGGAGACCAAGCCTGTTGGAAGTGAGAGACTATCGGGGAGCCTGGTGTGGTAACATGGGCAGCAGGTGGGGACAAAGGGCATGGAGGTAGGGGTGCCGAAACTGTGGGATCTCTCCAGTTTTTACTGGGAGACGGGACCCTAGGTAGGTTTGAGCACAAGAGTATGGCTGGCACACACTGACACAGACACACACACGTGTGCACATGAGAGTGTAAGCGGGTGCTGAGAAGCATGGCTTGACAGTGGGAGGTATTGACAGGTCTGAAAGGGGGGTGCATGTGGCCTGCACGGCACAGTGAGGTTTCCTCTGGTGGAGCTGAAGAGACTGTGAGAAGAGAGGTACGAGGAAAGGGGGAGGCTCATGAGGCCGCCTCACAGTCGCATCTGGATGCAGCGTGTCAGCATGTTGGTTGGACAGCTGGCAGCCTATGGAAAGCAGCGCTGTGCTGCACTGGGGTCAGGTGCCCAGGGTTGAGCTCCAGCTGTAGGGTGAGCTTGAGTTTCGCACAAGGAATTCAGGTGAGTCAAGGAGCAGGCAGCGTAGCTAGAGAGGAAGGACCAGCAAGGACACAAGGGGTTGTGGTCTGCCTCCGGGTTGCCATAGGGAAACCACTGTCCAAAGGGGAGAGCTGTCCACCCATCCGTCTGTCCATCCAGCTGTCCATCCATCCATCCGTCCATCCATCCATCCATCCATCCATCCATCCATCCATCCATCCATCCATCTATCCTTTCATTCATTCAGTCAGCCATTCATTCATTCATCTACTCATTTAACTATTCATCCATCCACTCATCCATCCAATCTATCTATCTAGTTACCCACTCACCCATCCATCATCCATCCATCCATCCATTCAGCCATATGTACATTAATCATCCATCTATCCATTCTTCCCCAAACTCTCTGAACACCCCCTAACAAGCCAG